GATTATTATTTGTTATTCCAGAAATTAGAAATAATAACATCGAGGACAATGAATTATTAATTAAATAGTTAAAAAAAAATTATTACACATAAAAAAAAAATTAAAAAAATTAAAAAAAAACCCAAAAACAACCAAATTACCAAAAAATTTATATGTAAAAAAAAAAAAAGTTTTTTTGAGTTTTTTTTTTTGGAGTTTTGTGTAATGTAGATGGAGCTACTTTCGTTATAAAAAGAAATATAATAAGGATTTCCATATGGAAATTAAAGATTAGAAATTTTTTATTTATACACAATTTTAATATTTCATTATATTAAAATTTTTTAAAGGTCTGTAAGAAAAAAGAAATTGGATTTCTGCTCATGAAAAAATTTGTTATTTTTTCTTTTTTTTCTTTTTTTTCTTATTGGTTTCTATTTCTGTTATATTAACATTAGAGATTTTACTAAGGAATTCTTTTACTTTTTCATCTTGATCCTTTTGGTTCGTATTATCTGGTTTTTTATTGTTCTCTTGGTTATTTTTTTCCATAGTTTTACTAACTTCCTGGATAAGCTTTTCGTTGAAAAAATTTTTATTATTATTATTATTATTATTATTATTATTATTATTATTATTTTTATTATTATTATTGTTATTATTATTGATTATTTTACTGAAATCATAATTTAATGATTTTATGCCCATTTCAGTTAATTTTGACCAATTAAGTCCTTTGCCGATTAACTCCAATACTGAAACTGAACCCAGTAATTTGTAGTACTCTTCATTTGAGTTGCACATTAATTTATATAAAAACTAAAAAAAAAGTTTTGTTATGATTTAAGTTTATTTAAGTTGGTTTAATTATTTATGTTGAATTAAAAAAATAAAAATAAAAATAAAAGAGAAACTTAAAAAATTATGAATTAAAAAATAAATAAAAAAAAATTAAAATTTAATTTAAGTTGATTTCAAAGGGGGTAGTAAATTATTTAAAATATTATATTGGTAATTTTGTTTCTTTTAAAAATAGAAGGGTTAAAATTCAATAACACACAAAATATAATAATTTTTTTTTTTTTAATTTTTTTTTTAAAGTTTTTTTATTAAAAAAATTTTGTCAAGAAAAAAGGATTGTGATGTTACAAGGGTAATATTATTATATTATTATTATGATGGTGACGTATAAAATATTCCAACGATCGTTTTGGAATATGAGACTATTATAAAAAAATTATAATATAAACTATTATTTTTATAGTTTATAAAAAAAACAAGAACTGATTGAGGGATGAATAAAAAACTGATGATAAATTGAAATATTGATGATTTTGAAACTAATTGATTTTTTTTTTCTTTACAATGTGTTTTTTTTTTTTTTTAAATATTATTATTATTATTATTATTATATTATTATTATTATTTTAGAAATTTATCTTGAGGATTGATTGTAAAATATTTCTTCTAACTGCATCAAAAACAATGGTAATGTTTTCAGTATCAGTGGCAGTGGTAACGTGTGCAACAATAGTGGTAGCAGTTGGAACTGAAGCAAAGAATTTATTACGAACATATTCAATACCTTTATCGTAATTAAGACCACCTTTTATAAAAAAAAATAAAATAAAAATTAATATACACACATTAAAAATCATAATCTTTTATAAAAATAATAATAATTTTATACTACATACCTTGATAATCTGGGAAAGCAACTGATAATGGAATCTTTTTAATTTTTTCTCTAAAGATATCGTTTTTGTTTAAGAATAATACAAATGAGGTGGATTTGAAGAAAGGATTATTTACAATATCTGTCCAAAGTTTAAGAGAATCTTCCATTCTATTAATTGTTTCATCTTCAACAAGGTTCATATCATAATCACCAAGAGCAACACAAAATATAATTGTTTTGACATCTTCGAAATAGTGAATCCATTTTCTACGTTCATTCTTTTGACCACCGACATCAATAAGACGGAATTTAATATCTTGAACATTGAAAACAGTTTCTTTCATACCTGTAGTACGTTGACGACATCTTAAAATATCTTCTTGAGTTGGAGCATAGGTTTCTGAGCTAATACGTTCAACTTGATCTAAACAATATGAGGTAACTTCTGGTAAATTAAGTTCTGCTCTTTTATTATTGAAAAGTTTTTGAATAGATTCATGTTTCCATAATCTATCGATCTCTGAACCAATATCTGGAGTTAATGGTAACTCGTATGGATTAATTTCTGAATAATAATCTGCTCTTTCCTATAATTTTATTTTAAAATAAATAGTATTTAAAAGAAAAAAATATTAATATAAATAATTGGGTTAAAAAAAAAATCATATATAGCTGTGTGTGTGGGTGTTTTTGTGGGGAAGTAAAAATAGAGTGGGAGTGTATCTAAAAATAGTGTGTTAATTTTTTGTAATTTTACCTTTAAGTCGCCTAATTCATCAGTTGAACAATTACGGATTAAAATTTGAATAGATGATAAAACATTACTGTGCATAATTTCAACAAAGGTATCAATTTCTTCAGATGTGAAACCTTTAGTGTGAATATAACGCATTTGTTTGGCAATAGTACTTTTACCACTGTCACCACTACCTAATAATAATAATTTAATTTCTCTTTCTTGTGACTTTTTTTCTTCATATAATTGTTTATCAATTTTATCACTTGATTTTGATTCTGAACTTGAATTGCAACCCATTTTTTAATTTATATATATATATGTTGATTTAAGATTTAAGATCTTTTTTTTGAAAAATAAAAAAAATATTAATATATAAATTTTATTGTGGAAAATGTGTATTTGTTCAAAA